ATGATGACATCTTGTTCAATAAAAGAGGGAAAAACCTGCCTTTTCTTTATTCCTCTTTTCTTGCTCTCTACTGTTTCTTTTTTACTTGTTTTTTGTTTCCTTTAGAGCAGTATATTTAAAGACGGGTGGGTCCCACTTAACCACCATATAAACTATTCTTTTTTCTTTGCCCAAAAGAATCCCCAGAGTTTACTCAGAAATACCACTTAGAGAGTCTTAAAGAAAACACGTGTATCCCATTGAGTCGGGTGAACAAGAATGAGCAATGTGGTGATGCGAGGAAGGTTACTGAAGTTACTAAAGTTAATGTGGAGAACTAAGTTTTGTTTGCCCGTTTTCAGTGTGAAAAGACAGCTGATGTGAAGAAGAGTAAATCCTGTGAAGCTGATGTCTCCAGTGAGCTTCGAAAAGAAGTAGAAAATCATTATAAGCTCTCTTTCCCTGAAGACTTCTATCACTTCTGGAAGTTCTGTGAAGAGCTTGATCCTGAAAAGCCCGCTGGTGAGTTGCTCCAGAATGATTCTGTAAGTGGAAAAGAAAGCTTACCAGGAAACTGGACCGAGGATATGAACAGTTCGTTAAAAAGGAACATTTTGAAAGATGTATCTAACCCGAGAAATATAAATTAATGGTGTAATATGCCATTTACCTTTGTCACCTGTTGGCAGAGGTAAGTCATTTCGTGGTGTTCTTTGGGAGTGTGGAGGAAAGCAAGCACTTTCCTATGTTGCAGGAGTTTCCGCGTGATCCAGCACTTCTGCTTCTAGGAACTGGGGGAGCAGATGAAGTAAGAATTATGTTCAAGGATATTTATTGAAACAAAAAAAGGGAAATGGCCTAAATGCCCATTAATAACACATCTATTCAGTAGATGTTCATACTTTTAAAAGACTGAGATAGATTTTTAGGAAATGATAAAGTATGATGCCTGAAATACATTAAATGAAGAGAATGTATAGAGCATGTTACCCTTAGTCTTTTAAAAAAAAAAAGATCGGGGGTACACACATCCCAGTATACTTTTCATGTGGTTACTGTCTCCAAAAAGATACACAAGAAACTGATGATGGGTTGTGTGAAGTTACTTTCTACTATATACCCTTTTGTACTGTTTAGATTTTTTTAACTAGGAAGCACTCATACACTAAAGGTGGAAATGTATATTGGTACATAGTTTGAATTTTGGCAATATAGCAGAACAGAACTGTGCAGCAGTTTCTCTAAAAATAGTTATGACGATATATACTTATTAGCAAAGATGTTTACTGAAGCATTTTTAGAATAGAAAAAAATCAGAAATAGTAAATTTCCATCAATAGAATAGATGAATAGCCACCTCTTTATAATGGAATATCATATGCTATTAAAAATCATGCAAAGTAGGCCAGGCACAGTGGCTCATACCTGTAATCCTAGTTTTTTGGGAGGCCAAGGCAGGAGGATAGCTTGAGCCCAGGAGTTTGAGGTTGCCGTGAGCTATCATGACGCCACTGTACTCTAGCTGGAGTGACAGAGA